CACATATTCATATATTCGTGTTCACATACCATAAAAACAATTGATTTCAAAAGAAATTAATAAAGCAGAACACGAATATATGAATATGTGCCCCCCCAATTATCGTTCTGGCTATGGCACTGAAAAAGTTTTAATTAGTTTAGGCAAGATTGAGGTTTCTACAATCTTGTATTATTACTCACTAGTTCTTTTCCTTTTCTGCTTTGGTAATTTGTATAAAACATAAATCCTCTCTTATCAAAACCTTTGAGAAGGACTATCCGAGCAGATGGTATACCACTTCTATGCAAAAGGAACATTACAATAGATATATAAGTCTAATTGTTTGTTTATGAATTCGGGAAAATATTTGATGAGTTTAGCACCTGCAGACCAGACTGCAGAATAGGACAGTTTTAGACAAGATCTAAGGACTGTATACAGAAATTCTGCAAGTGATCAATCATGTGTCTAACTATGGTACCACTGAATCCCAATTTAAGTTACATAACCCCCCCCCCCTTGAAAGTAGCAGCTCCTTGAACGTAGTGGCGAATTTGAGTTGTTTATAGAATTTCCAAAAGTAGTCGCTACTCCGAGAGTAGCCCCCCTCTCCTCATAAATGGTGGTGTAAAGAAAGTAGCTGCTCTCATTTAGCAGATAAAACTAAACAGGGTAGAAAAAATTATTTTCTTCCTGGAAGCACAACCTGGAGACAAAAATTTCCTACAGAGTATTTTTGTGCTAAATCTGCATGCACATAAACATATAGTGTTCTAGCTGACCATGGCTTTAAATTCAAGGAATGTTTGTCAACCCTATGTTGTTGCACCCATAGTGGGACATGGGTGTTAAGGTTTCCTTCAAATTTTCAATAGCAAATCTTCATTCAAACAAATTCCCTGCAGCTGTTTAACATTTCCTACGAGGGGGGGGGGGGGGGACAAAAATTCTATTAGATAGCATATTTCCCCACGGTATTGACGAATTTCCCACAAATTGACAAAATTTGTCCCATTTATTTTTATAATATTAGCCAATATTGCCCGACTGTGAAGCGAATATTGCCCGACTGGCTTTGTTTGCCCAACAAACTGGGGGGCTGCCACCCCCCCCCCCCTCCCGGTATGCCCATGGCAGTGGTGAAGCTATAGCCATGGCAATTACTGGTCATGCTATACTAATAAACCTGAATCTAAACAGGTAAAGACAAATACATTTCTAAAGGTTTGAAATATGCAAATCATTAAATTTGGCATTGCATTTGACCTGTTGCTATGGCTAGCTTCGCCACTGGATCATCCCCTCTGAAAAAAATATGCAACCATTAATGACAGGTCGAGCCTAGATGTACTCTTGTGCAATGTTGCGGGCACAAATGCAGTGTGTGCACTTGCCCTAGTGGGTACTCAATTTGCAGCCTGGGCTTAAATGGCCACAGTGTAAAAATACAGGAACACGTCAGCTACTAAATCTAAAAGGGAAACACTGCTCAACATTTACTAAGTAAAGGCTGTTCGATCTGCAGCTTTAGTTAGACAATGAATAAGCAACAGATCTTCAAAAATTATGAAAGCATGAGGGGTGTTAGCCTAAGGGAGTTATACCGAAATACCGAATATGTTGTAAAATAACAGCAACAGGAGCAACTACTGCAATTACCAGGTTTGACTACCTCATGGGCATTCATTGTGGGCTGACATCATAATCTCTTACGCCCATGAGTGATGAGTCAGTCAAACTGTTCATTTCCACTGTCGTTTGTCTCTGATTACGCACCTATCAATGTTAAGCTCCAGAGGGGGGGGGGGGTCGGGCATAGGTGTGGCATTTGATTTTTTGAGAAAATTTTCAATCAAATGCCCCACCGTCGGGCAATAAATATTGGTCAAATACCCCACCATTTTGCAATAAATTGTAATAAATACTATATTAATAAAAGTCATTCGGTTCAAATTGCCCCAACACTCGGGGTCAAAATACTAATCAAAATACAAATACAATGGTCAAATGCCCCACATATGCCCGACCCCCCCCCCTCTGGGGGTTAACATTGATAGGTGCATTATACAGTATACTAAGTAGATATTTTTACCTGGTACCAGTTGCAAGTGTCATTGCATTTGGTTCTTCAATCCTCTCACAATTCTTTGCTTCCGTAAACCAAATTTCAAACAAACTGATTGGATCTTTCACTGGCAAGTTGTCTGTGTCCAGTTGTTCACTAAGTGTGTAGTCGATTCTCATGGCTGCTATGTTTACGTCCACCATTTTGTTACGAAGTGAAAAGCATGTAGATAAATATCGTTGAAACACTTGGCGAATATTTTTTCCGCGTGAAATCATTCAATAAGACAATGCTTTACATACAGTATAGTCAATAGCAAAATGCAAAGTGAAGAGTCTAAATACTGTACCTATTCTGTGACTGCACAAAGTAAATATCCAAATAAAACAATAAGAGCCCAGGGGCAGGGGCGCATATCCGAATTCCGAAGTTGTTTTTTTTTGGGGGGGGTCTCTGTTCTGGGATGAAAAGCAATTTATACAAAGTCTCATTTCGAGAGTACCAAAGCAATAATATATATTTATATATCCAAATTTGTTTGGAAATCAACCAAAAATGGTGTACGAGTTATTACATAATTGCAAAGTATCCATTGCTGGGTTAATTTTAAATAATAAGAAATACTCTAGATCTGTGCTTGGTGCCCCCGGGAAAATTCAGTTGAAATCTAGAGTCTCTGAAATGCGATTTACAGCATTTTGGGGGGGAAATTACACAGAATTACGAAGATTGTAATGAAACACATGATATGATTATTTTGTGTGTGTTAGTGTTATGTACTCAGGTGAATATTTGTGATGTTACTCTGAGTGTGCATCCACACCGGGCAAGCTGAAAAGTTAGCTTGGCCACGGTGGGAATCGAACCCGCGACCTTTGGGATACTAGTCCAATGCTCTGCCAACTGAGCTACGCGATCTTTGGACTAGTATCCCAAAGGTCGTCCGAAATATCATCAACTCGAACCGACTTGACCGCGTAGCTCAGTTGGCAGAGCATTGGACTAGTATCCCAAAGGTCGTCCGAAATATCATCAACTCGAACCGACTTGACTGCGTAGCTCAGTTGGCAGAGCATTGGACTAGTATCCCAAAGGTCGCGGGTTCGATTCCCACCGTGGCCAAGCTAACTTGTCTAACTTTTCAGGTTGCCCAGTGTGGATGCACACCCAGAGTAACATCACAAATATCATATGAAACACATGATTTTTATGACCATACGCAGAAGATAAACTCATTGAAGCGAATAAAAACTTCACCTTTGCCTTTGGCTTTGTTTTCATTGAAAATCTAGCAAAGCCAAAAGCCAAGCTCGTTACATGCAGAAGGAGACGCTACATTTATATATACTGGATAAGTTTACATAGTCAATTGAACAGGCATGCCGCGGAAATATAATTGTTTGGTATGTGTGTAAACATCACGTTTATTTCGTATTTATACTAGCTTTCGATTCGTAAGCCTGCATGGACTCTTCACCGGGAAACGACAAAACGCGGACCCCAGGTCCGTGGACTACCTTCGTGGACCTGGTCCATGGACTACCTTCGTGGACCACGGACCACTCCCGTGGACCACTCCCGTGGACCACTCCCGTGGACCATTCTCGTCGACCACTTGCGAGACACCAGATTTTTGGGGTTTGAATTCTTGACTGTGCACGGAAAAATGTGTTCGAGTCGAGTTCAGTCATTATTATCATTGTGCCGGGAAACTTTACACAAAATGTGAAGTTCTAAATCCATTCACTATATGACCGTTCTAAAATATAAGTGTGCAATTACGACTTTAATGCAAAGTTTCCGAATATATGCCCTTAAAATTGGTTGGGGTTTTTTCGATCGCTACAGAAAATGCAAGAAAAGCAGTAATCGAGCTTCAAAAATTAATATTTTTGGGAGAGGACCTTCAGGCATTGAAAGGTCATTGCAACTTGGTCTAGTCGGTAGGCGAAATTTTTCAAGTGGTCCACGAGAGTGGTCCACGGGAGTGGTCCGTGGTCCACGAGTGTAGTCCATGGACCAGGTCCACGAAGGTAGTCCATGGACCTGGGGTCCGCGTTTTGTCGTTTCCCCTCTTCACCAGTGTTATAGTATTATAGCACCAATGAAGACAGGACTTGGTTCGAAAGCTTCGCCAAAGCCGAGGCATGCATGCAAACTGAAAATAAACGTATCCATGCACAAAACAAAACAAACAGTTTTTTACCATGCAAACCTACAGGTTGCAAGGTCACGGATCTTATTGTGTCCTATATAACAATAGACAATAGTATCAAGATAACGAAATATCTTTAAAAAGCAAAATACACTAATTATTGGGAGGGGAAAACACAAAATACGTGATGGCGACTATCTTTTTATCTTCAAATTACTGCAAATAGAAATATTTCGACAATACTTGTCTTCTGTGATATTTGCACATGGGCATGCATGGCTGCATGAAAACAGGAGAGTTTACTGCAATGACAAGTGCGAAATGTATAAGTCAGCATTTTAGGCAGTACCAGAAAGAACATGTAAAATAAGTTACTGGAATACTGCACAACTTTTCTAGCGAGTTATGTTTTTTCGTTCTTGATACATTTTAGTTTCAATGATATGTAAATGAAATAAATCTATGGAATTAAAAGCGAGTAAAAAGGTTGTTTCAAAGGTGGTAGTCTCATCAAAGGTTCAAAAATCAATAAATCATGATGAAATAATTCAAACTATATTGTTGATTCGTTTGACCAACTTAATTGCATACAGAAAGTTTTGCAGCACGGCGCTCTTGGTTTATAAAGTTGGTTTAGTTTCTTCCTGTAGCTGGTAACGCTGGACCAATTACTGCATGGACCTTTAGTTTAGAGAGAAGAGTTTACTAACTGACAATGTACAGGCTAAGGTTTCCTAACTCCTGTATTTTCATAATAAAAGGACTTAGTCAACGGTACTTTGTTTTTAATTTTCTTTGTTTAGAAAAAGGGTGGCAATTAAAATTTCAATTCCTACAGACAGAATGTCTACACTCACCCACAAGCTTGCAATAATAGTTAATTATACATGCAGTATTGAAAACATCAGAGAGATGTCGTCTTCTAGTTATGCCTGCAAGTCATGCGAGGCACCCAAAACATGCGGGTAACCAGGGCTGGAACTACTGCTGGGGGGGGGGGGTGTAACACCCCAAAGAAAAAGTCAAGGGAGGGGGGCCCAACTTTACCAGAGGGGGCCCCGGAACACTGGAATTGCGGAACGTGTTAATTAAATATTAAGGAATAATCTGAAAAATTGAGGTCGAAAACTAAGGGCTGAAAAGTATTTTTAACTCCCCATTATCGCAAAATAATGTTTGCAAAATTTTTTGGGGAAGGTTTAATTAAAATACAAAAAACTGTTCATCTCCCCGGGCCCCCACAAAGGAGGAGGCCCCAACCAGATGTCGCTCGGGATGTATCGTAACACCCCGCACTCATATTTTCGAAAATTTATAACGATGGACGCCATTTAAATCGCCAAATTTTAAGGTGACTTTCCCTGATGAACAGGATGCAGCAGACCAATTTGAGCACGAAAATTTAGTTTAGATTCTGGGGCCAATTTTTGCCAAATCTCTGTTGATAGATGAAAAATTATGGAAATTAAAATCAATGTAAGAACTTGGCACTTCATATGTATTATATTATATTGTTATATATACGTGTTAATTTAAGGGGTTGTAAAGTTTGGTTTCTATATATAGTTTTATAAAAACCTAGGACAGAGCCTAGGACAATGTATGCCACATTGCGACGGCATTTCGTGGTGAATTAAACATTGAATTCCAATGACTGAGTCCGGTTCCAGTGACATACATAGGAGGTCCAACAAAAATTCTTCCAATTATAACTTTATTGTTTGTTACGGTCAAAACGAAACTGGTACGTTCTAACGAGTCGTCGGGCAAGTCGAAATGAAATGATTCATTAAACACTGGTTCAATACTGCTTTTCTTCGTCGTTTTCCGAACGTGAGCTGTCTTGCCACCTAATATCATGGCTATTCTCACGTGAACAGCTATATAAAATGAAACAGAGTGAATATCAATATTTAACACAGCCGAACCTCTCTAAAAGCGGTGTTTACAATGGAAGCCTAGGCTAGGTTTTGGCCTAAACGCTGATTGGCTGATTAAACTAGTCAAATAATCAGTTTAGGCTTGTAGTGCAAGCACCGGTTTTATCAGCAAAGTTAAACCGAGTAAAGTATCGGTATTAGAGAGGTGTCCATATTATATACAGGTTACCACACAACTTTTAAGCTTAATTCCACTGCTGGACGTTTTAAGTGACCAAGGTCAGGCCTATAGGCTTGTAGTGACACAGTAATTAAAGTTTTAAGTGATCAGTGATTAAAACAGGTCACAATTTTCTCTAGAATGGGAAAATGCCTCCCCCCCCACTCTGCCCTGAATATGTTTGGCCCTAGTCGGCACATACGAAATTTTCCTTACTAGAGAGGTGTCCATATTCAAGAGAGGTGTCGATATTGGGGAGGTGCATGTCGGTGTTAGAGAGGTATATATCCTAAATAACTGCTTTGGAAAGGTAACCATGAATATTAGAAAAGTCTTCATATTTATTTAGAGAGGTATATATGTATGCATATTAGAGAGGCTTCCATATTAAGGTAATAGCTCTAGAGACCATGGCCATGCAGCCCATGCATGCATGGTCTCTATAGAGCTAGATACGACCTGTCTCCAATATATACAGCCAGTTCAAAAAAGGTTGTCCTTTTCCAACCTTAAACTCAAACCATAAACCTTAAACTCTAAGGCCGCAAAGCTTAATGGGGAGAACAAGTTTCGAGCTTAGTAGTTGAATCTTGCAGCTATTTGTAAATGAATTGTTCTCATAAGGAGATATTTACCATGTATCTAAGAAATGGCCTAATGTATGATTTCTAAGCTGATTAAATGACGTCGACGCTCCCATAAAGCTTTACACCCTTAGAGTTTAAGGTATAATGTTTAGAGTTTAAAGTTTGCAAAGGACAACCGGCTTTTTTGAATTGACTGTGTAATTAGTATACCTAAAACATTGTAATTAAGATATGTACATCTCATCGTGCTAGTACAAATTCATTTCGTTATTATTCATTTACTAAAAAACTTCCAACGATAATATATGCATGTAGTGACTTACATGGTGTTTTAGAGTTGCCCTCGATACCCAATCCATTGCCCTTCATGACAGAAATTGCCAACCTCTTCGCCGCCGGTAAATATTGTAAAGAGAAGAGAATTTCACCGATGTACGAATTCTAAGTGAGGAAAAAACAAAGGGACTTGTCAGTAAATAACAGAGATTGTAAACTGAATATAATTATATAGAATTGCTTGTTATAATTGACTCGAATCTTTGAGAATTATTAATGGTCTCAATGCTTGAACTACACACGTCCTTGGCCTATTACTCCTTCAAATGTCTTTTTGAACTACAATCAGTGACCAAACAGCTGTTTGGGGCGCACTCAATTTCAGGGCAAGCTGCAGGTGATTGTAATGGAAATGTACCAGGTTATCGTACCGAATTCGATAGTAGTCCCAGTCAAAACATGCTATTAACGGGAATCTTAGGAATATACCATTAGAGAATTAGAGAGAGGTCAGTGAGGAATTCATTCAGTTCAATCTACACGGATATAGGTTTTAACAATTTTTTTCAGAATGCCCACGAAGTGGTTTTAGTAATTGTAGCTTGAGAGTTAAATTGTTTAAACAACTTAAGGTCAATAGAGGTAAAGAAATATTTCCTTTAATAATATTGCGCCTTTTATACATCATTGCAATCTGCATGCTTTCTTTGGATGGTCATTTGCTATATAATTCACAGTCTCGCTTCGAAATCTCGCTTCAACATTTCTCGATGTACCACTGCGATGTACAGATAGATTTGTTTCACGTAAATTGGCTGCATTTCTTAATTGTAAAAGCAGCGTGTTTATCTTTACATAATTAATTTCTATATTAAAGGCACAGTTCAGCCTTTTCAATGATGGTTTTAAGGCGCATTTCAGCACTTTTAATTGAAAAAACTAACAAGGAAAATCAATTAAGCATAATTCAAGATCAGTAAGCTGAATGTTTTTAACATTTTAAAACATTTTTGATGTTTAAAAACACGGAGTTTACTGATCTTGAATTATGCATAATTGATTTTGCAAGTTAGTTTTTCAACTAAAAGGACTGAAATGCGCCTTAAAAACCATCAATCAAAAGGCTGAACTATGCCTTTACCTCTTGTTTCAGACGTATAGTTTTTAATTGGTATAGTTCTTTCATGACATACCTCCACCTCACAAGTTCCGCAATCGTCAATCTCGCGCCAAATTTCTTCACAACCTCCTTCCATAAGAATGTTCTCATAATCTTCTTCTAGTGGATACAAAATTTTTCCGACGGCACTTTGCCGCGAAAATCTATCAAAATCAAAGACTGTAAACCTCAGGGAGCGTTCTTTTAGCCCAGAGAACGAACAGGAGAAAATAAACTGTTCATTAAATAACGGGTTTGGTGTTTTCTGACGTGTTTTAGTTTGTAACTTTTTCTTCTTGTCAGGCAGCAAACAAACTTTCACATAAGGAGTAGCTAAGTCAGCTGTTGAATTTTTTCGCTGCGTAATATGCTGTCCGCGTACTAAATCGACAATCAGTTTTTCGGTTTCATGTTCATATCTCACGCTGAAACATAACCAGCCGAGGGTTGTGGCGGAACTATCTTTGCGGGTTTCTTTACTTGCGTTTCCGTATAGCTCTGGGTCAATCATATCTACATCAATTTTCCCGCAATCTGTATCAGTGACGTCATCGTCGCCATATTCGTGAAGCGCGGTCGTTTTTGGCACATGTGTTGGAATAACGAACCGAAAATTAGTCTTGTCTTCCTCTTTTATTTTGTTGTAATGTGTTGAGGAATATGTTTTACGAAGGAGCTTGACAAATGCGACGACAATTGACAATAGAACAATTGCGGCTACAGCGCTTATCACAAAGATTAACACATTAACGTCCATTGCTCTGTTGTTTAAGGTTTAAACATCTCCCTACGTAATAGAAAGATAGATATATAAGACCTATATAGTGGCTAACTGGCTATGAGTTAAAACCCCGCGCTTATCATTTGCCGAGCCTGGGGTAAATTACTAAATGCCCAGTAAATTCGTTGTTTAATTCGTTTCATTTGCATTAGGTTCCGCATACTGATAAAAAGTTCGACATTTGAACAAGGCGGGCCTAAAATAACCTGACCAAGTCATTGTCGAAACAATGTGCTTCTTGTGTTTTTTGAATTGTATGTGAATCAGTCTTTGCTAATTGCAGAATAATCGACATTCTATTGCATCAGACCGTACCGTTGATCACGAAGACAACGTCGACTGAAAATGCCGCAAACCAGTTCTGGATTGATCAGTCTGGAATGATTGTCACTGAATCATAAAAATTTTACAAGATCATATGGTCTAATTTATCTAATATTAGAACCATTTCAGAAAAAGCGGAACATTTTTTACAATAATCATAAATAATTGAGGCTGTTAGGGTTGGTATTTATGTCGCTCGTCTGAATTTCAAAACAGGTAATGTCGCCGCTTGAAAACATTGCTATGTCGCTTTCGGAATTTCGTCTTTTCCATGACGCTGTCACAATTTAGACAGAGTTCGTGTCCAACGTCGCTATTTCGTTTAATGTCAGCGTCATTGCCGACTGCCTCTGTCGGAATTTGCCCAGAGAATTTGCCCTAACAGGAAAACGGAACATATTTTGTAATTGCAACTGCAAGCGGAACTAAGATGTGGGTGGGATAAATAGCACGAAAACTTGAATGGAACGTGGTTGTTACTTCCTTATTGATAAAGAAAATTTATCTACAGTATATTTTAATACGATTTAAATTAAAACTGTTTTTACAGCGATTCGAAACTTTTAAACTTCTGTCCAAAATTGCGAGCGCTACATTTTGACAAGACTAATTGTCAAGTTAGCCTAGATTTGTACTTTAATTGTCCTTCAATGTATAATGTAATTGTTGACCGGGTGAGAAAATCATTATACGTGTTACCACTTCTCCAGCGCTGGTAACGCAATGAAATTTAACCCGTTGCGTTGCTGGCGCGAGAAAAAACATCGCACATGTATAAGCAGACGTTTATGCCGGAAACCTCTGCGTGCGGGAGCAATATCATGACAGTACGCGGTCCGCTACTGAGAGGTTGCGGACTAAAAACAGTCCAAAACCAAGTCACTATACATACATTATTGATAGTATATTTGAAACGTTAATAAAGTGAACCAGTATAGCCATAATCTAGCCGGTTTGCGTCGAGATGAATATAACTGACTTCTCAGTTTTTGCGGAAAACGCAAACTGTCCATATGTTGCCGTTGGGCTTCCCGTCCAACGGTCCAAAGACGAGTTTCCTGTACGTATAATATTATATATTATATAACTGAATTTATTAATAGTATAAATCGCTTTTATATTCACTAGTATAAATTAAAGCCCATGTAATTTTCCCGATCCCCGCTGCTAACTCAGTTCCGACGAAGGGCCTTCGCTACTATAAACGTCGAAGTTCTCCTTGTATTTTTCAGGTAGTTGTATCCCTACCAATACCCAATACAAAGCTTTCTTATTATTGCCACTACATACACTGACACAGACCTTTCAAAATACTTATAAATATTATATCAAATATACTCACAGTCGTGAAATTGTTCTTCCTTGGGATCAGTTCACCGCTCAGGATTTGCGACTATATACTGATTACTGTACATCGAAGTTATAACCAAGAATACTGAAAAAAACCGAGTTGGCGTGCCGATAGCGCGCATTGATTATAGAAATAGAAACACTCAAGCGTGGGATCATGCCCTATTATCCACATAATGAATGCGCATTTTTATACCAAAATATGTGTTCTTTATAAAGTCGAGAACTAAGATCACGTTCCACCCTCGCAACAATGATTGTACTTTTCAATGACACGATATCATTGACCGGCGCGCTAATGTTTCTCGCGCATGCATGTGCACGTATTAGAACAACATCTATGACCGAAAAATGTTTTACACTAACGGTTTAAACTAGTACTTCAAACCCTCTTTAATAATTCATAAGCTTTTTAGCCTGTTAAATCACTGATATTATGTAGTGACTTTATACCACAGGGATCCCATCCCGGGTCTTATTGAAGTTATGCGGAATTGTTTTCATCCAGGAATAGTCAATATTCACCAAGAAATTCTAATGGCAAGTCAGTGTTTATTCCTAAGCCCAATACTGATCATCTTAAGCGCTCCTTCAGTTATAGTGGAGCATCACTTTGGAACAGCTTGCCTGAATCTCTTAGATTATCATCATCCCTCTCCTTGTTTAAAGGAAGTCTGGAATCTCTATATTCTTCCAGTCTTACCGACTCCCACACGGCAACCAGGTAGAACAGTACTTCTCCTCTTCTCCTTCTTCCCTTCAATCTTGTCTTCTTCCTTAACTTATATTAATTGTTTTTATTTGTAAATAGCTAATTATCATAATTATGTACTGATGGTTCTCCGTGTTTAAATAAAGTTATGTATGTATGTATGTGTGTGTGTATGTATGTATGTATTAGAATTACGTATGAAATGTATAGCTCAGTGTTGAAGCCTGCAATTTGCGGGCTGTGTGCGGGCTAACGCGCGCGTTGAATGTGTATTCAATGAACGCGTTAGCCCGCACACAGCCCGCAAATCGCAGGCTTCAACACTGAGCTATATATTTCATACGTAATTCTAATACATAACTTCAATAAGACCCGGGATGGACTCCCTGTGTTTATACCTCATAAAACATTCCTCACCTCATTAGTATTCTTTATATAAAATCTCCTATACTCAGTAATGAATACTAATGAAGGGTACGCGCTCGTGTTTTTAAACCTAAAAACACTCCTGCTCGTTTATTAAACATTATACGACTTTAATCAGCGTGGGTGATATCAATTTTTGAAAACATATGTATACAAGCGAATGCAAATTGACCCAAATTCATCCTGTAGTTACAAAATGCTAATTTGCTTTATTCACACTATGACTGAAGGGATAAACACAGGCTGAATACAGCTGTTTTTAAAAAAATTAGCTTATTTATTTACTGTTTATTTATTACCTTTTATACATGAACAACTACAGACATATTAAATTTACGAATATACACATTGATGAAGGAAAAGTAAGGTTGAAGGTTACAACAATAGTTACAACATATATTTAAAGATATTTGAACAAATATTAACGTGAAAAGTGTACGAAATGAATTAACGTTTATTTCATTAAGAGTTGTCGTTGAAGTTGCCGTATACGTTATATATAAAATTGCTCCAAAATTCCGAAACGCAAAAAGTGATTGAATAAATTCCTGATCTTTGACTGTGTTTTCTGGTTGTACACAAAACTACAAAAGCCCCGTGGTCTTATTTGTTTTAACTTTGTTTATATTATAAAGTTTTAACTTTGTTTATATTATAAACCGAAGATAGTTGATGCTGATGTACTGTGGCAGATATGGTAAATGTGATATGCATGAGCCGGGCAGACAGAAAAAAAAACACTGTATGTGTTTTAAAGTTCTCTAATTCAGTAATTGGATTGGCCATTGTTAACATGTTTAAGAATGCTGCTTGGTCTTATTTGGATTACTCTACTGTTTTAGTTTGATCACCTGATTGGCTAATAACTTTCGATAAATTTTAGTGTTTATATGAGAAATCTAACGTTAAACGTACGTACCTTATAGCCATTGGTGAGCGAATAGGTCCCAGTCGATGACTAAATATATACAGGCTATACAAGTATATGATAGACCTGCTTCTATTCTTGCATGCCTTGTAATGGGTCACTGAGCATAGAAAAACAAAGACCGACAATACACCCAGTCGGTGGTATAATTTGGTACCTATATGGCCGTGAGTATTTAAATAAACAGTCGTTTGTCCACATTCGTTTGTCTATTCATTCGTTTGTTTGATAATACAGAACTGCCAAACACTCAACAAAACATGTCTACAGATAGACTATAACTCACTAACAGCGCTCCGTGAAGTTTGTATATGTTTGCTTGTAGTGTTCAGGGGTATAAGTGGTTTCGAGATACTTTGCATATTCTTGAATCATGAGTGCACTTGAATTAATTAAAGAAGTCTTTTATCGGTATGCCTTTGTGCTCACGAAAAATGCTCGATTTAATTAATCAGGTGGTTATATATAGACCTCTCTCCTCCGCAGAGGTTTCCGTTAATTTCGAACTTCCCGTGAGATTTTCTGTATTTTTAGGCGATTACTCGCTCAAGAGTGTGCATGAGAAAATGATAAACAATTACTGCGCAGAAGGCTTTGTTGCGACTTTGTTGTTCTCTATAACAAACATTTATGACGTTATTAACGGTACATTTTCCTCGTGGGCACCAGTAAAGTTGGTGTTCTTCAGGGTTAAGTACTTGGCCCAATACTATTTCTCTTGTTAATTTGTCAACGATATGTCTCAAGTTTTAGCTTCCGGCAAATTGTCAATGTTCGCTGAAGATTTAAAGTGCTACAAAATAATAAAATCATTGGCCGATACTGCCATCCTTCAAAACGACCTAACTTCGCTTTATTCGTGGTCTACCGTAAATGAACTCCGGTTCCAATCATCGAAATCTCATAATTTACGTATTAGTAGGGAGAAGACCAGTCGGCCAGAACGACTTTACACTCTCGATGGAAATGAACTTGAAATAGTAATTAAGGAAAGAGATCTTGGTGTAACTATAGCGAAAGAATTAAAGTGGAACGAGCATATCAAATTAATCGTGTCCAAATCAAACAGAATGCTTGGATTCTTGAAGAGAAATTGTTTTGTTAAAATGCTGAAAAAGACTCTAACATTACTGTATACCTCGTTGGTAAGGTCACATGTTTGTTTTGCTAATTCGGAAGTCTGGGCTCCACAATCTACAATCAGGGATATATTATTAGTTGAAAAAACCCAACGACGAGCCATCAAGTTTATATGTAGATCTGCAAACCTTAGTTACAAAGACCGTTTAATTCAGCTTAAATTATTGCCGCTTAATTACTGGTTGGAATATCTGCATGGACCTTATATTTTTCTTCAAGTGCAAGTCTGAACGTATTCATCTAGATTTAAACAATTACGTCTCTTATTGCAATTCAAACACTGCATGGGCATGGTATTACTTCCTTGTGTCTGAATGTGCAGCATGCACGGACAAGTTTGTTTCGGGACTCTTTCTTTAATCGAATTTCAAATCTTTGGAATGCAATTCCAGACAATATTAAAGCTGAAAGTTCAGTCAACTCTTTTAAAGAGTCTTAAAACTTTTTTTTACCAGACTCTTCCAAGTTTTTGACGGCAACAACATACATTCTTCTAAACTGATATATATGTCCTAAATGTCGCCAAATTAACCCTTTGACCGTTTGCACTTGTTAATCTTTATGGTGTAAATATGTATATTGTATGTGGGTGTTTTTAAACATTAAAATGCCTTGTAAGGGACTCCAATGTCCTATTGCATTTCACACCTGTCTTTTGACAAATCTTTATTAAATAATAAATAATAAATCGTTCAGCAGAAAATCGGGACCAACCTTTGATACAGTCTCAAAGAAAACTGGGACCAACCTTTCGTGATTTTCGAACGCTGGGGGTTTCATATGCCCCAAACACCCCCCCCCCCCCAAATGAGCGTCCCCTGAGTAGACCTTTTGTCATGCGGTACATGCATGTACAGGTTTTGAATCGGACTGATTAGATTATACAGAACTCTGAAAATGCAAACATTAATTATATTGACCAAACTGTCTGAACAGTTTTAGCTTACTATAACTGATGCGTGGAGTTTCCACAAAATGTAAAGTTAATATATTTTTGTAAACAACTGAAACAAGGTAGTTTTAAGCCCCGTTTACACTACGCTCAATTTTTGGTACGGCACGTATAAAATTGGTACCCGTACCACTTTTTTGGTTCTTGGACTACCTACTTAAGCCCCGTTTACACTACGCTCGATTTTTGGTACGGCACGGATAAAATTGGTATCCGTACCACTTTTTTGGTTTCAAAAACCTAGCAAAATTAAGCCCCGTTTACACTACGCTCGATTTTTGGTACCGTACCACTTTTTTGGTTCTTGGACTGCCTAAATAGGTAGTCCAAGAACCAAAAAAGTGGTACGGGTACTAATTTTATCCGTACCGTACCAAAAATTGAGCGTAGTGTAAACGGGGCTTTAGGCCACGTTTACACTATGACGCTACGGCTAAACACTCCGTTAAAAATTTACTACATTTCTAGTATTGAGACTATGTTGCGTTTACACTATAACGGAGTGGGTTGCCGTAGCGTACTAACTACGGAATTATATTGTGTTTACACTATAACGGAGTGGGTTGCCGTAGCGTATTAACTACACACCACTACGTTTGGCACTCCGGATGCAAATCACTACGCTACGGTAAATTTGCCGTAGCGTAGTAGTGTAAACGCGGCCTTAGGTAGTCCAAGAACCAAAAAGTGGTACGCGGTACCAAAAATTGAGCGTAGTGTAATATAAACGGGGCTTTAGTCACGATGAATAAGGTGTCATACAATGGCGGACTACGTTGCAACATGCTGGCCAACTTTAAAATAGTAAGGCAATCATTATCGGAGTGATTACATTTTCCATTCTAACTCAGACAAGGGCCGCGGAATGGGGGGGCAATGGGGGCATGTCCCCCCCCCACTTTTGGGGGGCATGTGCCCCCCCCCCCCACAATGCTCTTTTTCTTTAAAAGTGCCCTTTTTTCTGGGCTAAAGTGCCTCATTTAAAGAAAGAAAAAAGCATTTCTTGAATGAACGCCCTCTTTTGCTGGAAAGAAAGTGCCCTTTTTGCACTGGTAGTAAAGACTCTGTAAAGGCCATTTCCGGCGTTATAGACTCCATATTTTCAAAAATTTTCGTTCGGCTCGTGAATGACATGAAATCGTTTGATTTTGGTCATATACAAAAGCCCGGTGTCCCTTTTGTCGGCAATGCCCCTCCACTTTCGAAATGCTTCCGCGACCTCTGAGAGTGGCGTGTTCTGTCGCCTACGTTACTGAAGACCCATAAAGGATAAACCAGGCCTACCTACGAAAAACGCGACTTTTATGATACAAAATATGTTTTAATAGAACAAAACAAGAATGGGAGTAGAGTTCATAACACTGTAGGAGGTCAGTTGAATCATCAGCACCGTCCAAGGTACACCTTTCCATGCAGGTTATAGATATCAGCGATGCTATGACAGGAGTGCAGAATAGAGTGACTTGGAAAGTATCTCATCACTTGTGAGGTGAAACTAGTCATATAGAGCTGATGCACTTACCACTTAATTTGTTATCCGTGTCGTTTCACAATGTAGACATCATTGGCTCAAGTACTAGTAGTTTCGGTTTCGAAGACAGAACTTTTGCCAGCGAGTTAAAGAAGGCACTTGTTTAAGCTGATTAAACTTATAAATCACATGGTGTGGACTCTTTCACAATAGCCACACAGTGTAATTAAACTGCCATCTAATGATTAATTAAAGAAGTTCAAGTGATAAGTAATCGCATATAGTCGAGCAGCCACCCACGTTTGTGGGAAGAAAACAACTTACACGACATGTTTTAAGTGGGAATGAGCTTCAAGTGATCTAGTCGAAAGTGCCCAATTTTTATCTGTCATTGAAATATTTAATATGTAAATGCTGCATGAACCAGCCTATGACGTCATTGTAGTCCACTGCTCATTAAGAAAGTCTGATAAATAAATGTATTAAAATCCTTAAAAATCGTTTTTTATCCTCACGGACAAAATGACTACAATGTGAAATTCCCTATTCATGCACTGGGGATGGCGAAATTCCGATTTGATCGATATACCGTACACAAAAGAGTAAAGGCTGCTTTCTATGCTTTCATGCGTACGTATTATACACACGGAATAGTTTATGTACTATTTAAAACACGCGTAGGAGTCTTTTATCAGCTAAAATGCGAGTGCGCAGCACGAGCTAGGATTTCAGATATGAATATAAGATAAAACACGACCACAAGTGTTTTGAATAGCTTCAAACACGACCACAATAGATGCCGTCTCATTAGTATTCTTTAATCTTTATATAAAGAATACTAATTTAATACGATCATAGACTTTTATATAAAGAATACTAATGAAGATGACTTTTATCAGATATAAAACCTCTTCACGTCATGACATATTATGGTTGACATGATTTGCCAATAAGCTTATGAATTATTAATGAGTGTGTGAAACGATTTAAAAGTTGTGCTATATCACAATCAAATAATTAATTAAATGCATAAAAGGACATTCCTTGGACTTCATAAGATGATCGACCGGACCCAAAAGAGCTGGATTGCTGTACTCCCAGTGCTTTGATCTTACGTCATCGCCTCGATGTTGGATGAACTGAACACTGAAAGAATTTTCCTTTAATTCAAATTTCATCCAACATGGGGAAAACTTCGAATCCCAGGGAATAGTTGCGCATCACCTATTTATGTTGTTGTTTATGTTGTATTGTAATAGGCGGGTTGAATATATCTTTGAATGCTTAGCGTCGTGTTCTTGTTCCTTCGACTGAACAACTGCTTGGTGCTTTATGGTTTAACTCATCTTCCCTGATGCGCGTACAATGGTTCCTATTAATGAAATGGTCACCCTGCTGCTGACTCGTACCCAGTACGTCTCTGGTGCATGATGGGGATGATCAAGGCATGCAACCTATGCATGCGTCACACACCTCAGTCCACTGATCTATTAATGTATCTACTTATACTGAATAATTTATACTTTGACGACTGGGTACGAGTTGGATTCTCGGTTATTTTTTTTCGACTGATGTTAAGCTGTTTTACTTGTACAGGGCTTTATAACAAATTCTAAGCGTATTTGTTAATATTTGTTAATATCTGGCTATCGTCCGTTTGTCTTAATTATGACAATTATGTTTGTCTGCATGCATGTAAAATATTTGAAAAAAATATAGTGTCAATATTTCAATATAAGCTTTCATGGCCTTAGGAAAGACTTTTTATAAAAAAATGTTGCCGGTTTAAATAATATATAGGAATATTAATAAATAAAGATAAAAACAATATATTTTTCAATAGACCTTAATTGACCCCGATGCTACTCAATTCACATTTTCGGTTAACTCAAAATGTAAGACTCGAACAAAGCTAACCCAGGGTTTATTTTAACGTGCAGTTCTACACAAAATGTGCACTTCTAAACCCATTTGTGCAGTTCTTAAAACTCAAATGTGCAGTCACCAAATTAACGAAAATATAACCTCAAAACAGTCTTCTCATTTACTCGTTTTCCTTGTGGATGCTCCAGATGTCAGAAATGCTGTCATTGAGCATCAATAATCTAAATGTTTTCTGGGAGAGGACCACCGGGCCCTCATATTTTCCTCACAAATCACATACGTGCTGGGGTAATGGAACAGGATGTAAAATTGGGGCGAGCGAAGCTATCCAAAAGAGATTAGAGTGGGAGAACCTAATATTCTTCGCTGCCTAAGGTTATTATATATTGAGTATTCATGATTCCCAGTTACATGTTTTGAAACAGTTTTTGTGGGTGGTTGGGCGAAACAAATCTTTGCCAGAACTTACGAGCCTCTAAATTCAAAATTTGGGGGACACCCCCCACCTGTAGCTCTCCTACCGAGTTTGTCTGGCCCCACCCAACACCACCTTTATTCTGCCACCTATACGCAAATTAAGAGTCTAACATAATTTACAACGTTACCTATAAATTTACAACGTTAAATATAGATAAAAATCATTTGACCCCCCCAGTCAAACACCCTTTGACCCCCCAGTCAAACGCGTGATGCTTCGTAACATGCCTAATATGTGCAGTTCTAAATTTTTCTTAAAATAAACCCTGAGCTAACCAACTTTGGATGGCAACGGACAAACACGTGTTAGGCGTTAGGTCTACATTTGGATCACACTTTGTTTCTACGAATTCTTTAATTTGTGCTCAGATGTAGCCTGCCCCGTTGATTTCCAGCGTGGGCGCGAACCTACAGCAACATGTGGTTATTCATAAATCTGGTCCTTCACCATCACGTGTGTATTGTATTTTTGCCCAACTAACCAATAACAATGTTTTAGGAAAGTTACCTAGCTATCCGTGACTCGAACAATATATAGGGAAATTGCTATTGGTGGATTTGGCAAAAATACAATACACACGTGACGGTGAAGGACCAGATTTATGAATAAACGTTGACTAACAGAGATGAGTTACCGTAAAGCGCCCCTCGAAAGTAAGCGCCTTTTTCAACACTTGCTAGAGAATCTGGAAAGTAGGCGCCCCCTCGAAAGTAAGCGCCCCCTCGAAAGTAAGCGCCCCCTCGAAAGTAAGCGCCCCCAGCCCCCCACCCACCCCCGAAAAAAGTTTTGTAAAGTTGTAAAACATAGGGTATATATAAAAGAAACTCTCTAAACCATATGTATACCATATATACTCTATAGCATGGATTTAAAAATGGCCGATGCTGAAAATAACAACTCGAAAGTAGGCGCCCTTCGAAAGTAAGCGCCCCCTCAAAAGTAAGAGCCCCTTGAGGCCACTAATTTCGAAAGTAAGCAGGGCGCTTACCTTCGAGACTTTACGGTATATTGTTATTCTAATGAGTTTCACAGCCATCTTCCCTTGATAGGCTATGGTTGAATGTGATGTTGGATTTTCCAGTTTTGCAAAATATCACTGATCTCAAAAGACCGGATAGCCTATAGACTATATATATATATATCTTTGCTCAGTTCAACACTCTTTTCCACTCATCACAAAAACCAACTCGCAAGCTCGCTGCGAGTTTCTTTCATCCAACCACAATGCTCGACAGTTTATTTTAATTAGATGCAAGCATTCGCAGCGAGCTCGCGAGTCGGTCTTTACTTAATTGAATGGAAAAAAGCAGAGCAATATTTGCCGCAACTAACAATACAGTTTCTGACATAGAGCCATGTTATCTAAAACGTAGTCGCAGGGAAATTGTAAGCATGGTCCACAGTTCACTCTATCGACTTTTTTCATCACATTTCTTTCATTTTTCATCCCTCAAGGTATGATATGTAAAGAAAGTGTCGGCAGAGTAGAATACAGGCCACGCTCACATTTCTCTGTGACTACTTGGTTCATCCGAAATTGTGTTGCAACTTGCAGAAAAAACTGACCAAATGTCAATTCTCCTCCAAAAATACCACATTATTTTGACATATAAAACAGCCGAACTAATAAGTTTCTACGTAATATATATGGAAGGGTTATCAATTGGTCTCACTTTAGGGTTCATTTTGTTGCACAATATCAATCAAGGTTTATTCGAAAATCAGTCGTAACTGTAAACTCGCGTAGCAAAGTTTGAATGGTACAGTCATCCAGGTCTATGAGTTGAATTCAATTCACACATGAGGATAATAATCGTAATAAGTTACAAAAAATTTGAAATTTCTAATACAACGCTACTATGATGGTTTGTTATATTGTTGAATTGTAAGAAGGCTTAAAATTCAAATGTGACACCTCCCTCTTTTTCTTGACAGGCGCTTTCTGGTTATTGGCTTTCGAAGCCATGGCCTTTAATAATACAGACAAACAATGTGCGACCTGTGGATTAGGAGCACAAGCCAATGCGGGAGTAAAACCGTTCTCATCTTCCGTAAATACGTCACTTCCTCTTGTTACCAGTTCCTCCACGACGTCTTCGATACCGTTCTTTGCCGCAATGTGCAATGCTCTAAACAAGATAAAGTGGAGAGTGTCATGCATAAACTGTTTATTACCTCCGGCATGAGGTTATGTTTACACCAGCCTTTGTATGTGTGTGCGCCTGTTTGTTTGTGCGTGTGTTTGTCTAAGTATCAAAAGTACTAAATTAAGACCATGTAAAGTCCGTAATGTAAACAAACGCTTTGTTTACATTTTGAACTCAGTGCTACAGTTGTAAAATATGATTAGATATATATTATACTGAATTTTTGACACTCTTCTGGTTCGCTATGCTTGTAAATGAATACAGACTAGAGATTCAATTCAAGAAAGTTCAAAATATACGAAATATTAATAACATTCCAACGGTCGGGTCCCGACCACTGGAATGTAAGCCTGCGCAGAACGGACTTTACATGGTCTTTAATAAGAAAATTTGTAGGACTAATGGTAATAAATAACACCGTGGAAAAACGTCTGCGCATGCGTCAATATTAGGGTGAAGGGCGAAGGTGTTCTCAATTGTTCTCAAGTGTTCCGAATGTTGTCAAAAACTCAAAATGGAAGCGACTTCGATGTTTTGCCTTTTTTATGAAAATGCAAGCAGAATAATGAACGTGACAACCTAAAAACTACAAATAATTATATGATATAATTATATAATAATATAATTATAATTATATATCTAGATGTGCAAGAAGTAGTATTATGCAAGAAAATGAACCAAAGGTGACTGTCGATAAATTTATTGTATAAAACGTTCTTTAACTGAACCATACAAAGATATTTTTCGTAGGTTCATATGATCCACATTTTTGTCAATAACTTTTTTTGCGTAGCATGTATAATTTTTGCGTTGACTATATTTAAAGGTAATGAGTTACTTTACAATTAAATCGTGTGCAAATGCTTAACTATTCGATAGTTTTCTTAACTTTTGTGCTTAAGTTCGGTATTCGACAATTTTTCAAGAAATGTTCACACGCCTCCCCGTCTTAAACGATATTTTTTTATTTAAATTATGTTTCTTTTTAGATTTTAAATGTCAGAAAACTTTTTATTGTCTAAACTACCCGTCTAGTGTATTTTTTGTTCGTTTCAATTACCTTAAGTAATTAAATAGCCATGTTTTTGTTTATAATTTTGCATTTAAATTCCTCGCCATCTTTTCTGTTCCCACGCATGCGCAGACGTTTTTCCGCGGTGTTGTAATAAATAGGCCAAGGACAAATCGAATAAATTTTGGTTCAATCTGGACGAAAACTGAATGGAGAAATTGTCAAAAATTTGTCTTGCTTTGCTGGGGAGAGAAAACTGAATGCGTAATTATGCCTTTGTATGATTTATGCAAGAAACTTGACTTAATTCGCTGACGGAGCTGCAGTCTTTCCGCGTCCTCTAGTTTTTTACTGTGCTGTAATTACACTGATAGTAGAGCCTGCCCGAAAATAACGGCTATCCGAAAGTAGCAATCACTGCTAAGGTAACTTGTAATCTGCGTGCATTCCGGGATCGTTACTTTTGGAATTCTACAGTAAATTGATGAGAAAATACAACTTACGTTTGTCCTTGTGAATTGGCACGATTAATAACACTATCATCGCCATCCTTCAGAAGCAATAATGCACATGAGGAATGACCCTGTAACAAAATAGCATGATATAGTTTTATAAAATAACATGTACATAACGCGTATTCTGATTGGTCGAAACCCGTGTTTGGATCAGGCCATCCAACCACGGAAGACTATCGTGTTGTTGTTATTTTATAAAACAATTACTTTATGGTTTCCGTGTTTGGATGGAATGATCCAAACACTTGGGAATGTTGCTCGAGTTAAGAAAAGCGGGCAAAATCACTCGCCTTCGGCTCGTGATTTCGCTCGCTTTTCTTAACCCCCGCAACATTCCCGCGTGTTTGGATCAGGCCATCCAAACACGGAAACCATAAAGTAATTGTATAATACCGTGGTTAAAACCAGACAGCTATTAAACGATGGAAGAGAGTAACACAACCACTAAACAGAAACCATAAAATACTGGTAAAATTCGTCGTTAGCTAGGAAGGCAAATCTTTGCTACAAAATACTGGTGCGGAGCATTTCATCACAATTTCTCTAATTTAGGCGCACCTGCGGTCAACAAGATGGTGTCTTGCTTACTTTATCAATAGCAGTCTCTTACTCACAGGACAGGAGAAAAAGGTCTTGAAAAGTCTCACAGTAATGCAAGCATCTACTCAGCGTCTTAGCTAGGATTTTAGATCTTGGGCGTGTTTCTAATGACCAGGGCGTGCACATGTCAATTACCTTGAATAGCAAAATCACGGTTCTAGTTATGCTCGCCAACAATAATGCTTGTGGTTGTTCTTTGCTAATTTGCAACCAAATACAAGGCGAGCATACACTCATACTTCGCACTGACATTAAAATATTAAGTTATTTCAGCAACTCTTGGGGGTATTTAAAACCATTTTAACACCATACAGTTCCCATTATCCATCAAAATATTAAAACACTACGAATCACTTTTGCCAATTCAACAACAACAGTAGATTATACAAACTTTCTTACGACGTAAATAGGAAGAAATTGAGTCTGAAATTCTGTCTGTTGTAAGTGGCACCACCTTATTTTATAAACCTACACGGCCTTATATATAAATAATGAAGCCGCGTTCATTTTATCTAGCCGTGTTTTTCCGCTTTCGGCCGCGATAACACGGCCAACACGGCCCTCTAGCTAAGACCCTGCATCTACTACGAGATTATGGCGTGCGTATGCATGTTGTAATGGAGTAAGAAGATGGCAAGCATGTGCAAACAACGAATCTCGTATTTGGGTAGTAGTAAAATCTCCCTATTACTCAAAGATATCTTATATACACTAGATAGCGCATCTCTTTTAGTAAAATTGAAGCCAAGAATATTCCAGCGGTTACCCCTATTTGAATAGATGGCGGCCATGTTGGAGTTTCCCACTCGCTAATAAACGCTTAAAAACAACAATAACTTTCATCATTTGAATAGTTTGAAAATGTATTTGGAATAGGTTTATCTTAATATTTAAGTTTCGTGTTTAAGAAACAGAAAACATGCGAATCTTCTCATTTCATGGGAAAATCCTGAGTTTGCAATCACGGCTTCAATTTTTGAATTGTAGAATAATTAGATGCACTATCTAGTGTATATAAGATATCTATGCTATTACTCCACTAAACTAAAACTCTCTATTATTATACCCTAAACACGATAGTTTACTTTTCACAATGGCCAATCTTACCTCAATGCAAGCAAGATGTAAAGCTGAATTATTATCATTGTTAACCAGAGATACATCGGCACTGTTTTCCAGCAAGAATTCTAAAACAAGACACCAAATTGAACGTATATCTACAACCATGTTGCACGCGCAAAAGATTAGGTCCAGAGTTAAATGAGTAACGATTTTGCACGCCTTTGTACATGAAGTTTGCACACGAGTCACGATTTTGGAGCAGTTACCATTTGCATAAATAGTAACTGTATAAAAAGTAGTGTATAAAAAATTCAACAATTTTAAAATGCCCACTAAATTGAGATTTACGCAACTTTTGAGAAAATTTATGTGAATATATAGGTCGTTATAAGGATATTTTAATTTCTTCAACACTACTTTTTAATTTAAAAAGGGCTGTTTTTGCTTTGCAAAAGGAAATTTAGAATATGATTGATCAACTACCAAAGAACGAAACAATTTGAGGTACAGTACACTTCGTCCATTAAAACGTGGAGTTTTGGGAGTATGGACATGAATTGAATGAAATCCTAATACGTGAAATGTATAAAGTCAATCATGAATGAAATGTTTATGCAGCAATAAATCACGTTTTACACTTTCAATTTTGTGTACAAGCCATTTTAATGTGGTTGGCAAAAACAGCCCTTTTTATGCACTCGCAATTTCAAGTTTTTAGAAAGATTTTAGTGCTGAAGAAATCGGTAACTCTTAACTACCCATATTCACACAAACTTTCATAAAAGTTGCGGAATATTATGTTTAGTGGCCATATCAAAATTGCGTACTTTTTTGATACACCCTGCGTATTGTGTTGTCTCGTTCTTTGAACACCTCAGCTGTCCATCGTCTACCCCTAAATCATGAATAGTTAGCGGTTTCGTACACTAGAATATTTCATAAAAAAACTTTTGCAGTTTATAAAGGGAAGGATAGATGTCGTGGATTGCATTTATTGCAAGTTACAGTATGACGTCATAGCAGGTTAATACAAGTTAATGACATACCAATTGCTCCATCATGGCCTCGTTCTGCAGCTATCATTAATGGAGTAAATCCATCAACATCAACTGCATTGACGTTTCCTTCATGTTGCTCTAACAATTCCATACATTCTACTTGATCACTGTAGGCACCAGCATGCATCGCTGTCCTAAAAATAATAGAACATAATACATTGGTAGAATCATAATACATTGGTAGAATCTTTGGATAACTATTTTTTGTGTTCACTGAATTAAAAGAGGATTTGCAGCATGGAAAAGATGATACTGGACTACATTTCAAGTCCGCGCAATTTCATCAAGTCCGAGGCGAATCTGAGGAATCAAAATGTGAGGACTTGATATCTAGTCCAGTCCAAATTGGATGATTTGAAACTGCCTCCTCCGCAGGCCCTCGTTGTGTCATGGGAAGGTCACGATTTCGAGAGGGCCTGCGGAATCTTGTAAAATGAATAAATGTTGTTTTGAACCTGCTTCGTTAAAGAAGGCAGTTTTATTCATGCAACGTTGGTGTGGACAACAAACCTTA